CTACATGCACAGTTCAGTGACATCAACTACGCTCTTCCAATTGTGCTGCTATTCTCACTTTAGATGAAGGTTTACAGAACAAAATAGTTTCTCATTAACAGTTAGTACACGTTGCCCTATGACAACGGTTAACAATCCCATTACACATCAACACTGCCCTTACTCAACCTTGGGTTCCCTATCACCAGCTTTCCTGTCCCCTTCTGCCTTCTAGTCATTGTCCCTGGACTGCTGTGCCTCATTAGTCCTGTTTTGTTTTATGGGCTATCCAATCCCTGGCTGAACGGTGAACCTCAGAAGTGACTTCACCACTGAGCTAAAAGGGTGTCCAAGGGCCATACTCTTGGCGTTTCTCCAGTCTCTGTCAGGCCAGTAAATCTGGTCTTTTTTGTGTGTGTTAGAATTTTGTTCTACATCCTTCTCCAGCTCTGTCCAGAACCCTCTGCTGTGATCCCGGTCACAGCAGTCAGTGGTGGTAGCCGGGCACCATCTAGCTGGACTGGACTGAGTCTGGTGGAGGCCTTGGTAGCTGTGGTCCATTAGTCCCTTGGACTAATCTTTTCCTTGTATCCTGTTCTCTCCATTCTCCCTTACTCCTGAAGGGGTAAGACCAGTGGAGTACCTTAGATGGCTGCTCACAGGCTTTTAAGACCCCAGACACTACTCACCAAGGTAGAATGTAGAACATTGTCTTTATAAACTATGTTATGCCAGTTGAGCTAGATGTTTCCCGGGACCATGGTCCCCACAGCCGTCTGCCCAGCAATTCAGTCCCTCAGTGAGTTTTGAAGTGTCTATGGAGTTTCCATGACCTTTCCTTGTACAAGTTGTGCTGGTTTCCCCAGTATTGTGTACTGACTCACCCTTTACCAAGGATACCACTTACCTATTGCCTATTTAGTATTTCCCCTCCGCCCCTCCCATCCCTCATAACCAACAAAGATTGTTACTTTTTGTGTGTAATCTTTTTCACGGGTTTTTACAATAGAGGTCTCATATAATATTTGTCCTTTTGTGATTGACTTATTTCAGTCACCATAATGTCCTACAGTTTCATCCATGTTATGAGATGCTTCACAGATTCATCGTTGTTCCTTCTCGTTGCATAGTACTCCACTGTCTGTATGTACCCACAGTTTGTTTATCCTTTCATTTGTTGATGGGCATCCAGGTTGTTTCCATCTTTTTGCTATTGTGAACAATGCTGCCATGAACATAGGTGTGCATATGTCTATTCGAGTGGTGACTCTTATTTCTCTAGCATATATTCCTAGGAGTGGGATTGCTGGATCGTATGGTATTTCTATTTCTAGCTTTCTAAGGAAGCACCGTATCATTTTCCAAAATGGCTGTATCATTTTGCATTCCCACCAGCAGTGCATAAGAGTTCCGATCTCCCCGCAGTCCCTCCAACATTTGTTATTTCCAGTGTTTTTGATTCAAGCCAATAATGCCGGGGTGAGATGGTATCTCATTGTGGTTTTAAATTGCATTTCTCTAACGGCTAGGGATTGTGAGCATTTCCTCATGTGTCTATCGGCCACTTGAATGTCTTCTTTGGTGAAGTGTCTGTTCATTTCCTTTGCCCATTTTTTAATAGGATTATTTGTCTTTTTGTTGTAGAGGTATTGGATTTTCTTGTAAATTATGGAGATTAGAACTGTTAAAATGAAATTCTTGACAACTTCATTATTTTCACCATTTACCATGATGCTGCTTATTGGTCCAGTTGTGAGGATTTCTGTTGTCTTTATGTTGAGATATAATCCATACTAAAGGTGTGGTCTTTGATCTTCGTCAGTAAGTGCTTCAAGTCCTCTTTACTTTCAGCAAGGAAGGCTGTTACATCTGCATAATACAGGCTGTTAATGAGCCTTCCACCAGTCTTGATGCTGTGTTTTTCTTCATATAGTGCAGCTTCTCGAATTATTTGCTCAGCATACAGATTGAATAAGTATGGTGAAAGGATACAATCCGAACACACACCTTTCCTGATGTAATCATACAGTGGTATTCAAACAACTGCCTCTTGGTCTATGTACAGGTTCCTCACGAGCACAATTAAATGTTCTGGAATTCCCATTCTTCATAATGTTTGTTATTCTTCCAAAATTTGTTACGATCCACATAGTTGAATGTCTTTACATCAATAAAACACAGGTAAACATCTTTCTGGTAATTCTCTGCTTTCAGCCACGATATATCTGACATCAACAATGGCATCCCTCATTCCATGTCCTCTTCTGAATCAAGCTTGAATTTCTGGCAATTCCCTGTCAATGTACTGCTGCAACTGGTTTTGAATTATCTTCAGCAAAATTTCACTTGCATGTGATATTAATAATATTGTTCGATAATGTCCATATTTTGTTGGATCACCTTTCTTTGCAATGGGCACAAATATGTATCTCTTCTAGTCGGTTGGCCAGGCAGCTGTCTTACAAAGTTTTTTGTATGGACGAGTGAGCACTTCCTGCATTGCATCCATTTGTTGAAACATCTCAATTGGTATTGTCAATTCCTGGATCCTTGCTTTTCGCCAATGCCTTTAGTGCAGCTTGAACTTCTTCTTTCAACATCATTGCTTCTTGATCATATGCTACCTCCTGAAATGGCTGATCATTGACCAATTCTTTTTGGTACAGTGATTTGATGTATTCCTTCCATCTTCTTTTGATGTTCCTGCGTCGTTTAATATTTTTCCCATAGAATTCTTCAATATTACAACTCGAGGCTTGAATTTTTCTTCAGTTCTTTTGGCCTGACAAATGTTGAGCGTGCTTCTCCCTTTTGGTTTACTAACTCCAGGTGTCTCTACACATCATTATAATACTTTACTTTGTCCTCCTGAGCTGCCCCTTTGAAATCTTCAGTTCTACTCTTTTACGTCTTCATTTCTCCCATTCGCTTTAGCTACTCTACATTCAAGAGCAAGTTTCAGAGTGTCTTTTGACATCCCTTTTGGTCTTTTCTTTCTTTCTTGTCTTTTTAAATCACCTTTTGCTTTCTTTATGTATGATGTCCTTGATGTCATTCCACAACTCGCCTGGTCTTGGGTCATTAGTGTTCAGAGTAGGAAATCTATTCTTGAGATGGTCTCTGAATTCAGGTGAGATATACTCAAGGTTGTACTTTGGCTCTCATGGACTTGTTTTAAGTAAATCTATAGAGTTTACTTAAAAGTGAGATTACACTTATGAAAGTGAACCAGTTATGCTGCTAAATGAAGCAGAAGAGTGGAAATAATTAGGTAGTTAATTTAGCTTCCCCCTTAAAAGAGAAGCACAAAAATACAATTTAGGATCTGTATTAGCCAGCTTGATTATACAATCAAATTGGTGTACAAAATACCTAGATTACCCGTTTTCCTTCTAAGACATTCTTTTGGTATCTTTAACTGAAATAACAGCTTTATCTATTTTTCCCCACGTGTTGAACTCTACAGATACCTTGTTATCTATAGCTAAAAGCCAACTATGTGGCAGATAACTGTGCACAACTATTAATAATTTTCTAATAACTCAGTTTTCAGAAAAGGTAGCTTATCTTAGGTAGGTTTTATGTGCTTTTGAATTCTGTATCAGGTTCATGTGTTACCTTCTCTACAGCTCCCCAAATGAAACTCTTATACAACCTAATTATAATTCTAAGTGAAGTATATGTGTTTAAAGCAAGCTAATAACTTTCCTGATCAGTTTGTGCACTATGGTTACAATGCCCTAAACAGCACATCTATTTTCATACACTATCAAGAATAATATGTCTTTGACTGCAATATAAACAGGCATACAGTCATATATACAATTAAGCCATAAAAAGAGTACTGTGCGAGATGGAAGATAGCTTTTTTGGTCATTAATATTTCAAAAGAACTCTCTCAAATTCTCTATTATAACAAAGGC